GCTGTGTCCCATGAGCATAATTATCACAAACCAGCAAACAAGTCTTCATAGAAAATTCCTATAGATATTAATTAACATGGGAGACAAGATAGTGCCTTGCTCATTAAGCTGAAGTCACTTAGTATTGTTTTCTGGTAGTGTACTGGATGAAGAGAAAGGAGAGAATCTGAGACAAACAGTGTCTTCAATGCACAGTTTAAAAAAGATCCTAGGCTCATTGTATTAAAAAAAACCTATTAAAAAGTTTCAGGAATATCAGCAAGTTGGCCTCCTGCATCTTCACCTATGAGTGTTAATTTTCAATTATCATCAACCAGGTGATCTAGGCTGTCCATAATCAAGACTAATCCAGTCAAAAAATGATCAGTCTAATCCCAAATACACAGACCAGAATGCTACTTTCAATATTTCAAAATTTAAAAACTTCTAGATTAAACAAACACAATATCCAGGTTGGTTTTGTGGCTTAAATATATCAAAGTCCTTAAAAGAATAAAAACTCTGGTGTAGATAATTATAAATGAGAGGTAAAGATTACATGTTTCTAGATAGCTAATTATGAACAAAATTCAACTTTTGTTATACTTTTGAGTTCTTCTTAGGACCAAATGTGATTTTCATTTACTATTAGTTTCTCCAGTGAGACTGTCAGCGTAATCCAGCTATTAATAGCTGTTGGTGTTGCCCCAATTTAAAGGTGGAAAACAAAATAAACAGCCAGAATATAAATCTCAGACAAAGGCTGAGAGATTGATACTAGTAGCTAAAAGTTTTTAAGAACTGTGGGCTAGTCCAGCGGTGGGATTCAGTTCTTTTAACAACCAGTTCTGTGGGCATGGCTTAGTTGGTGGGTGTGGCTTGGTGGTCATGTGACTGGGTGGGTGTGGCCAACTCAACATCACTCATGTCAAGGGGAGCTTCTCCTTGCCTGGCCTCTCATGACAGTGGGGATGCTGCAACGCTCATAAGTGTGAAAAATGGTCATAAGTCACCTTTTTCACTGTCATTGTAACTTTGAATGGTCACTAAATCAACTGTTGTAAGTCAAGGATTACCTGTACAAAAATACAAAAAGCTTCTTTGCTTGCGAAAAGCTGCCCTAAATACCAATCATTAGATTAAAAATACCTGCAAGCCAGAGTTCCAAATCAGGCAGGGTGTCAGAGCACCTTGAGGAATGAAAATAGTTAAAATGCAGTGATAACTATCAAGCAGCCAATTCTTGTTCTTAGAGTGAAACCCTTTAGCAGATAAGTCATTTAAGCTCTCCAGAAAAAGCACACCCTGAACTGGACAGAACCGGTAGAATCCCACCCCTGGGCTAGTCTAGGAATGTGCCCAAGGTGCACAAGATTGCAAAATTTCTCTGAGTTAAACAAGGGAATCATTACAGAACTTTTCTCCCTACTCCAGACCACCCGAGTCAGTCCAGAAGGATAATATGATCAATTATAAATCCATAAAAGATGGATGGATACATCAATCCTATCCTGAGCTTGCCAGAGGTCATCAATAATCATGTTTATATCTCAATCCTGATTAAAAAGAGTCCAGATAGTCATTTTCTCCAGGCCCATTGGAACTAAAGACCAAACCTCCCTAGCTAACTAAACAGTACTGCTCGTCATAGAATTTCGACAGTCAGAGTTCAATTTTGAGCGAATCCAAACAAAGTTATCCATCAGAAGCATAGAATAATCTTTAGAGCAATTGACAAATGTACTTTCAGCAGCTCCTTACCCAGGAGAAATAGGCCCTTTAGTCAGCTCTCTGAGGATGCCGTAAGAGCAGAAAAATAGTTATAATTTGCTCCTCTTATCACCACAAAGTAAACATTAAGAAGTCTCATACCTGTGTTTGGATAGATTCACTCTGTTTTCAGATGTTTTCATCCCCCAGAATTCCTCTGAAAACCAGAGAATTTTCTGGGATCTACACACACAAACACAAGCTAAGATCTGAGGCCATGCACCTTCATTCTCGGCAGCAACTCAGACTGATGGACATGCTCCATTGGATCATTTTGCCAAAAGAACAAGTGTAGAATTGAAAAAAAAAGTAAAAACAATGGCTACCATTTACCTGCAAAACATTTTCAAAAAATTCTAAAAAACAATTGCTATTTCTTTCATAAGCTTACTTTCTCACTTCTGGGCTTTAAATAAATTGGAATAAAATAAGGTGGCCTTACCTAGTTCCCTGTTGATGTTGGACATATCTAGGTGTGAGTGCATGGCTAGACTCATTGGGTTAAATTGTGACACGTTGAATAAATCAGACATCATAGTTTCTCACAAAATTTCAAATTTTATAATATCATTTGTGTGCAATATACATGCACAAATACATATAAATGAGTCATGTAAACTTACTGTAAAACTGAAGTAAAAATGTAGATTGAAGTTTAAAAGATAAAAATGAAATATGTTTACACCATAGGTATAATCTGCACATTTTAATTTCATACTTTCTCTGGAAACATCAACAAGGCAATTAAGGATGGATTAAGGTGGCGATCAAGGTGGAAGACAAACATTATGTCTTTAATCCTATTACTTCTGAGTCAGATTGTGTGTAATATTTGTTGGTTGCCATTGCATTTTTAGAAGTATAAGTACCTTTTAATGAAGAAAGTCTGTTTATTTCTAGAGGTGGGTACAAATGATAATGACCTTTTATCCACAAAGAAAATAGACGTATCTATTTTCTTCTTGGATAAAAGATTTTCCTTTGCTGATTACTTCTTCCATGGCCTAGTTAAAGTAATAAAAAATGAACATATGGCTGCTGCAATTTTGTTTTTATAACATATAAAATGAAAAAGATGGTATTTTGCATGCTTCACTTAGTGGGCATTAATGCTTGGCAGTTAAAATTGCTAAGAGGCATCTAGGAAGAAACTAAAATACCAAACTCCAAGAAAATATTTTTCTTCATTTTCTTCACTTAATGGAAAATATAATTAAACCAAAAAGGGACTGCAGTTTTGCCATTTGTGAGCTGTTAGCGAATCCTGAATATCTGCCAATGGGTCAGGATCAGAAATAGGGATATGCTTTATTCAATGTGCTGGGCAGAGCAGGCCATGCAAACATTAATGTATTGCTTTAGATTCTTCTCCTTTCTCCCTACAGAGTTAGACATTAGTAACTAGGACTGAAGGAGCATTTCCCATTAGCTTCCCTTATGGCCAAACTAGGAAATATGTTTGAATAATGAGAGATAGCTGGCTACCAGTTTCTTGCAACTGTAACTCAGTTCAAATGGCAAAATATCCTGCAGTAAATCTCCACAACTGACAATCCAAGGGAAGGAAGGAAGCTACAGACTGCCTTGACCACCACTGGGATTATGCAGATTTAAGGCTCATCACTCTTTCTGGAGGAATTTAAACCAGGAGTTCCTAAACGTTTTGCCATTATATTTCCCTTTATAGTGCAATTTTAATGTACGGTATATACCTCCCCTAAAATCCAAACCCCAAAATGCATACAAAGGAACAATGAAAATAATGCAATAGAACCTTTTTAATAGACAGAAAAAATAAAACAAAAAACTTCACACTTCCCCAGGATTTTTTCTATAATTCCCCAAAAGAAATACCTCACCTCACAGTTTGGGGAATTCTGGTTTAACCCAAGTTCTTTTAGCATTTTAAAGAGTAACCCGATACCATTTTTATGAGAGATTCCTAGTGTGACCTATCAAGATGCCACAGATTCATATTTATCAAAAGACATAATATTTCCTTTTCTGAATGATTTTATAACTCTCCTGCCTTCTACAGAAGATGACAAATCGACTGGAGGCTCACAGCATCTGTCTTTCAAACACTGGTTAAGGATAATAATGCCATTTTGAAAATTATATTCTATTGTGTATAAGAAATGTGCTTGTTTTCAATACCCAAGCAGTATTTTCAAATTTAAAGAAACCTGTGCTCTCTATCAAGAGCAAATTTAGAGCAATGTTGTCAATGTTGCAACAAAAATCTATAATTTTGTTATTTAGAAAGCAACATAACAATTTCTTCTGTCATATTCAGTTCCAACAGATTAATAAAAGCTGCCTATGGTTAGACATCACAATAGTCTTCCCTGAGATAGTAATCTCCAGATAAAAAATTTAAATGGTTCCCCCCCCCCCCTTAAGATACATATATATTACAACTCAGTATTTTCTCAGCTCAAAGAGTCAGCTGTTGGTTTAGAACTGAAGGTTGCCATGCCAGCTCACCTGAGCAGTCATGAAATTGGGAAAGACTATGGATCATTTCTGAATGTTCTGATCCCACCTCAAATTTTAAAAAATGCATTCATGGGGGAATGAATTTTTGAACAAAATGCTCTAGTTTTAGAATGAGGGTTAACAGAAGTCACGTTTAGAATGTAACTGTTGTGAATAACTTGATTTGCTCATAAAATAATGAAGTTGGGAATATTGTGTTAAATATCATGATGAAGTAAATAATTTTGCAACAAAGTTGTGTGAATTCTATTATAATTTACACAGGTTATGAAAACATACTAATCAGTGGTGGGATTAAAAACTTTTTACTACAGGTTCTGTGGGCATGGCTTGGTGGGCATTGCAGGGGAAGGATACTGTAAAATCTCCAGTGAGAGGTGGTATTTGCCAGTTCTCCAAACTACTCAAATTTCCCCTACCGGTTCTCCAGAACTGATCAGAACCTGCTGAATATCACCTCTGATGCTAACACAGTTAACAATTTAGGCCAATAATATAACAAAAAGCAAGTCTCTCCCCCCCCCCTCATTTTTATCCTTTGTGCTTCCATTTTTCCATGGAAAGAATAATTTGTCTTATGGAACTACCTCAGTTTTTGTCTATCTTTGCTCAGAATTCTTGAAAAAATGGTTACAATCTATTAAATGCTTAGGAGGAATCCTTGTTTTCATGAACTTAAAATGGCTCAATTTTTATAGAATTAACTTTTCTGTACAACAACCAAAATCCAGCTCTGATAAGTGTTAGCCCACCTGAACAAGTGAGGAAATCCAGAATTGGAGGAGGGGGGTACAGGATATGTGGAGGGACTGCCATAGGAGAATGGTGTATGAATTACAATGTTGGTCAAATATTCTGAAATTGTTGCAAAGGAAGCTCCTTTGATGTTTTGCCTTGACTTTCAGCTGCCACTTCAAGACTATCGCAAAGTTATTCTAGAATAGAAGCTGAATAGAGGCAATGCGTGTCTAAAACAGTGGCAGGGGGAGAGTGCGCATGAGAAAGAGCAAGAGAGAGACAACGAGAGAGAGAGAGAGAGAGAGAGAGAGAGAGAGAGAGAGAGAGAGAGAATGTTTCGGAAAATAGAAACAATTAAAAAGGAAAAAGGTGGGGAAAGGAGAAGATTGAGTAATCCTCTCTGTAAAATATTGCCTTGTGTTGCCCATGAAAAGTCTGTCAGTTCTTGAGGAGAAGCTGGAAAATTGGTTTGATTGGTTTGTTTACAGTGGTTGTATGAGCTAAACTGTAATTCCATTCACAGAAACCACATAAATAATGCACTTAGGCTATTAAAGCTGGGTTGCTTTTGTGGTTATAAAGATGACATGTTTTTCTGACCATGTCAAGGTAAAATGGCTTTGTTGATCTTATCCTACTTCCCAATAGATACTTATCTATATAGAACAAAACACAACAACAACAAAAAAAACCCAACCCCAAATCCTCACTCTGCAGTTTTTGGAATATTTTTAAAACCACTTTTCATCAGAAACCAAGTAGCAGGGATAGGGAAGTAAGACAAACTAACACCCATTTTGGCAACATGTAGAAAGTTGTTTTTATATATATGACAGAAATCAAAACAATAATTTACATGGCTTTAACAATAGAGAACAGAAAACAAATACATTGAGTTTTATCTTTTTCTTTGTTGTTGAGAAAAAGACATATGTATATGTATGTGTGTGTGTGTGGGTGTGTGTGGGTGTGTGTGTGTGTATACACAGTATGTCTTTTTCTCAACAACAAAGAAAAAGATAAAACTCAATGTGTTTATTTTCTGTTCTCTATTGTTAAAGCCATGTAAACTATCATTTTGATTTCTGTCATACATAGGCTATAAGCTGTGGACTTGGCCCACATCTTGTTTCTCTGAAGATATAATACAAAAGGAAAATATTTTTAAATAAGACACTTGGACTAATTTATGTATTAGGACAAGGTCTTGGACTAAAAAGTCCCTGGGATTCAGCCATTAATTCATGTGGTATTAGGATCAATGAGTATGAAGAAATTTTCTCAGTATACAGAAGGAGTACAAAGGAAATGCTTTTCAGACAAGTGAAAGGAAAGACAACTTTTTTTTTTGCCATAGGATCATTTAAAAGGAAATTGGTAAGAACCTTTATAATGGAAAAATGTGACTCAAAAGTATTGCTGGAATTGTGTATCTGCATATAAATTTCATAGCCATACAGTTCCTAAGCACAATGCCTTAAGACAGGGGTGTCAAACTCAAGGCCCAGGGCCAGATCTGGCCTGCGTGGTGCTTAGATGTGGCCCACAGGGCCACCCTGGCCCAGGGTGCCTCTGCCAGCAAACCAAAGCTCGGGAGGGCCACGGGTGCCCTCCCGAGCTCCGTTTTCACTGGCAGAGGGCTGCAGGAGGCTGTCACTGCCGAAAACAGAGCTCGGGCACCTGTTTTCACTGGCAGAACACTCAGGCCATTACAGGCACCCAGATATGAGTGACATCAAGCTGGCCATGCCCCACCCCAGCCCCCTGAAGTCAAACACAACCCTGATGCGGCCCTCAGTGATATCATGTTGACATCCCCTGCCTTAAGACCTCAATTTGACTTTATCTGTATTTATTTTTCTGTAGTCTTCTTCAGGACCAGTTTGGTCTAGTGGTGAAGGCACTAGGCTAGAAACCAGAAATGGTGAGTTCTAGTCTTGCCTTAGCCATGAGAGCCAACTGAATGACTTTGGGCCAGTCGTTCTCTCTCAGACCAACTCACCTCGCAGGTTATTGTTGAGAGGAAAACAGGAGAAGGAAGATGTGTCAGATGTGTTCACCATCTTGAGTTATTTGTCAGAAATAATAAACAACAGAACAAAATAAAATCTGGTGCCATTAAAATGGGTTAAACTCCTGGTCTCAGAATTCCCCATCAATGTGGTACATGGACATTTTCAGAATACTGGCAGATAAAAAAATGGATTTTCTTACCTCAGCAAGGGTTGAAAAAAAAAGAGTTTTTCATGGTTCCTGAGATTAATTTAGACATCTCTAGAAAAACAAATCCAGAAAAAAGGACATTTGAAGAAGAGCAGCAATGGGGCAGGACGTGAGAATACCATGGTCCCCTGGTGTTGCACAGCAGGTAGCTAGCCAGGGAATTTGGAATGCAGGAAAAATGGAAGGAAGGCATAAGTCTTCCTGTGTGTTTGCCAGGAAAGTGAAAAGAAGGGGATTAGAAGTTTGATTAGTCAGGCTGGCCAAAGGCTTTTTGGAGCTAGCAAGGAATGTTGGAAAGAAGTCTAGTAACTCAGATTCTTTGAAAGTTTGCTTTTCATTTGAGGTGGCAGGACGTTCTTCTGATTGCATAATTGGGTGTGTTCAGTCACAAAATGCCCATATATCTGAAGCTGAGCTACCTCTGTCGAATATTTTATTTTCTAAAAGAGGGTTTTGGAGAAATATAATTTATGTTTGGAGCTAGTGCTTTGTTTTACAGCACATAGTTAGGTCCTCCTCCTCCTCCTCCTCCTCCTTCCCCTTCTCTTATATAGAATTAAAAAAATGAATTTGAATTTGGCAAAAAGCAGGGAGTTTTGTAGGCAACAAGGAACATGTTGGTAGAAGCACCATTTCCTGGGAACAGTGTTGGGGGCCAATGTTTCTAAAGATATTAAAAGCTGGAAATCAAGCTTGCAATTGGTTGTTATACCAACATTTCCTCCCCCTTGTAAGACAGTGCTCCCTGTTGCCGATTGTCATCTTTCCTCAGTACAGAAGAGATGTCCCAAAGGTCTGATGGGGTGTGGTCTATGCTGAGGGAGGAATGTATGTTGTTTTTTTCTTGACTTTGTATTGGAAAAATTGAATGTTCTCAGAGTGATGCTCCCTGTCCTCCCTTGTGGGTGAAGCCTTTTGCTACTGCTTACAGCTTATTCAAAACATGCCAAAAGGAAAGAAGTAGCTTTTTGGAGATAATGAAATATTAGCCAAAAGCAAATTGCCAAGTCTGTTCAGTTCTAATTAGAATCAATTTCAATAGCGTCTTGGGCATTTCTAATCTGTCAGTAACATTAGAAGGTCTTTCTTCCATAAAATCTTAAAATGTTTAAAATAGTTATGTTTTAAATGTGATGAAATAGAAGAAAATGCACACACACTCAAACTAAAGACAGATTGTAGAAAGTTATTGCCTGAAATCTTAATATTCTAAGTGAGGGATGTCAAACTTATGGGCCACGGGCCGGATGCATCACACGTCAGTTTAACAAAGGGGGGGGGGAGTTGCAATATGTCATGTGACTACAATGTGTCATCAGGAGTTTGACACCCCTATTCTAGGTCGTACTTTGACAACCATAAGATGAGAGCATTAAAAATATTTGAATACAATATTTCGGGAGTCAGCTTTAAACCTGCATAAATCCATCAGATCCTCACTAGATTCTGGAACTGGTCCAATTCACATTTCTTTTCTTTTTGTCTTTTCCTTGTTTTTCTTTCGATTCAGCTTACCAATGCTTTTGTTTCTTCATACTATTTTTGCTGCAGCACTTTCATGCCTGGGCAGAAAGGGAGCTGGGGAATGGCTATAATGTAAGGTAACTAAGGCAAATATTTTAAGCAATTGGTACTTGTTTACTTGGAGGATCTAAGTAACTGTTGCAAGTTTGGAAAGTCCCCAGGTTGTTCCCCTGTACTGAAGAAATGAGTATGTATTCCAGACCACCTACCTTACTTGCTTGGTAAGATGGAAGAGATTGTTACATTATCAACCTAATCAGTTTTGTGCTTTGATCTGAGTGCTAGCTTACAGTTTTCGTCAAACACTAACATGGTTTTGGGCCAGTTTGGAACATTGCCATTAACTTTTCAAAGACAAATGCAGGCAGAAGAAAAATGTAGCAGTAAGCAATAATAAAACATATTATCTTTGGGCAAAAAATGGGCAATAATTAGACCTTCTTCCAGAATGGTACCACTAGCTTGTGCCAGAGTGCAGGATAATGTAGCTTTTGAGGTGCCACATTAGCCTGATCGGCAAGGAGACTTTAGTTTAGATATTATCGGGATTTATCAAGCTAGTTATAGACGCCTTGTCAAATAACCAAAATATTATTTTTCAGGAATAGTCATTAATATTAATGTTCTAGAGCAGGGGTATCAAACTCAATTTCACTGAGGGCTGCATCAGGGTTGTGTTTGACCTTGGGAGGCTGGTGTAGGTGTGGCCAGAGTGGGCATGGCCAGCTCGACATCACTTGTAGCTGCTGTTACAAATCTGAATATTTCTATCGTCTGAATGCGACTAAGAATACAACAAAATTCAGATTGGCTTCCCAATCAGCCATGAAGCTCTAGAGATTTAAAGGTAGTGTAATAATACTAGAGACAACCTCTGTGTATATAGAAGTCAGTTCTTTTGAGGAAGAGTTGAATTTTTAAGAGGAATTTTTAAAAATGCCCTACGTTATCATTGTTTTAATAATTGGTATACATTTATTTAAATTCCCACTGAAATTGTAGGTGAAATAATAAAAATATTTTACTGTTAAAGAAGTAAAATCCTACATTAGTTCAACTTTCACCAGATCTGCCTATTTTGAAAGGCAGCACAAACAAATGCAAGTACCCTTAACCAAGTCAGACTTGATTGTTCCTTAAAGAGTTAAATAAGAATTGCAGTGTTGTCCAGGCATTGATAATAGGTTGTCATGGATGGTATATTGTTCTGCTTGGTGGATCATCAGGTTTGCACATCTGTCTAATGAATTTTTTTTTTAAAAAAATTGTGTCTCAGGATGTGTAAGAGGCTGTGTGACTTTCTCAGATTGAGAGGACAATTAGCAGACACATACAAGGATGATGCTACATATTCTATACGCTGAAAGTGTGCTTTATCTCTTTAAATGTCATTGTACTGCTTTTTGATGGCATCTTTAATGGAAAATATCCCTGGGATCTGGACAAAGTGCTTCCTGTTCATTTCTTAACCTGTTGCAAAACTTTAGGTATGATATTAATATCATAGTGCAATTGCCATCCAAGAACTAAGCCTCTTTAAGACTGTGTGTGTGG